AGACGCAGGAGCCGCCTCTCTCCCCGCAGGCGAGCGCGGCAGGCTATGGGATGGACGAAGCGGAGCAGGACCAGTATGAAGCGCGCCTCAAGGAGCTCTTCGACAGCTTCGACAGCACCGGCACCGGCTCGCTGGGCCAGGAGGAGCTCGCCGACCTCTGCCACGTGCTGCACCTCGAGGAGGTGGCCCCGGTGCTGCAGCAGACGCTGCTGCAGGGCAATCTCCTAGGCAGGGTAAGGATGGGGATGTGGGCACGGGTTTGCTGGGTGGGCACCCTGCCCTGGGCATGGGATGCACTGGCCCCAGGAGCCACCCATGGTGCGGCGGATCTATCCCTGGTAGCTGGTATCTGTGTGCAGGGGCTTTAAATCCCTTGGTGATGCCCTTCCGCACACCTCACCGTGGGTTTCTCCCACGCTTTACCCCAAGCTCTCAACATAGAAGCAGGCTGAGGATCTGCCCTTGTTTGTGGAGAACTTGGGTAACTTTTCCTGTGAATGAAGGCTTGGTTTCACTTTTGCTATTGCTTAACTTCCTGCTTCATGTAAATTTTTCCCCCACATGCACCCATTTTTGGATATTTTTTTTTTGGGGGGGAGTGGGGCAAAGCCTCCGTGCAGGAGATCCTGCAGAGGTGCAATGCAGCCTTGCATCCCCATCATGGAGAGCCGGGGCTGCCTTGGGATGCGGCTCTGACCCACTCGTCTCGCTGGCCCTTGGAGCTGTAACCGGAGCTGCCTGCAGGCTGGGGAAGCCGCCAGGGTCTGTGATGGCCTGTGGTGACAAGCAGGGACAAGCATGGCTGGATCTCTGGGGCTCGACCGTCTGGTCTGCGTGGGCCGTCGGTCCGTGGGCTGTGCTGCTGCCTTCGAGCTGCAACCGGGGCCTCCAAACTCCGTTCTCCAGCACGGCCCCTGAGACACAATAACAATTAAAGTGACAATAACAGCTCAAATAGGACACAAGAGCAGAGGCTGCTGTGCTGAAGGTGGCTGAGGCAGCCGTCTTGTCTCAAGTTCCTTGTGGAGCTGCAGCTTTCATAGAGCAGAGCGATCGCCTTGCTGAGCAAGTGCCCTCTTCCTTGCTCTTTGATATGGGACCGAGAAGGGATAAGGAAAAGCAGTCCCAAGAGAAGCCAGGTGCCACAGCTGGTGACCACTGCTGAAGACGTGACCACCCTCGAGGCTGCTGTGGAGCAGGTGGAAGGTGAAGCTGAACCCATAAATGCCCAAGTGACCCCCCAAAAGCTCCTTCCGGAGCATCCCAAAGATGAGGTCCCATCGCAGCATCCCATCCTGGCAAGGCGTTGCAGGAAGCCTGAGCTGGCCACAGGAGGGTCCAGGCCCCCTGCCCCAGCAGGGCCACCTTGCCCAGGACCTCCCCATCTTGCATTTGGGGGTGGTTCTTGCAGCTGTGGCTCCGTGATGGCCTCGCGTGGTGCTGGGCGACCAGCTGGCACGTGCTATCTTTAATTCAGCGTGCTTATCTAAATCCTGCTGCCTGCCCTGCAGCGGGGCCGGCCTGGCCCTGCATACCTCCTTCGCACGCGATTCCGCCCGGAGGCGACACTGGGAATGGTAATTCCCGGGATTCCAGCAGCCGGGCCGCTTCCACGGGCTCTGCAAATAGCCGCTGGCTGCAGACGCTGCCTTGGTGTCTGGGCCCCGGGAGGCAACTGCTGCTCACGAGCAGCTGCGGCGGTGGCACATGGACAAGGTGGCAGTGGGGGTGACCCTGGTGTCCCCAGGGGGTTTGGCACCCCAGAACTGGTCCAGCTTGCCCTGAAGGAGCCCTATGGGTGCTGTTCCAGGGATGCTGTGTGTGGCCATAAGCCTCCCGGGTGCCTTTATTGGTGCTCAAAGCAAGGTCAGGGTGAGCAGTGTGGGCAGGGGTCTCTTGGCACTTGCACACTTGTTTTCTAGGGCTAACATGGTCCTAGCACAGAGAGAGGGTCCTGAAAGGGGCAGCAGCCATCATTAAAGCAGCCAGCAGCTTTGCTGAGCCCCTTTCCAGCTCTCTTTGATGCTAAAAATTCTCTGAAGACGCATTTAGCTGCAGGGGAAATCGGGGAGCCGGATCCGCCGGGTCGGATGGCTTCCCCAGCTGTCCGGGGATTTTCCCGGCGCGCGAGCTCGTCATGGCTGGCGCGGCCGCGCTGGAAGAGGCTCTCCGGGAAGCTCGGCCAGCCGAGGCCCGCGGGGCTGTCTGCGTTTGGGTCACTCGTGTCGCTTTTCCTGCAGCCACACTCCAAACCTGGTGTTTCCAGCCCGGCGCTGGCCTGGAGGCAGGTCTGCACTGTGCCGGAGAGGGAGCTGCTTCCCACTGGCTCTTGAAGCTTCGTGAGGGCAGTTTCACAACATGCATCTCCTGCAGGTCCCCGTGTTTCGCTCCTAACAGAGGCATGGGGAGCCCTCAGCTCATCTGGACATGCCACACACTGGGACAGCTCAGGTGGCCTCCACCAGTGTGGCCAATGTCCTCCCTTGGAGCTGGGGCCAGTGCATAGGGGACAGGGACTTTTGCTGGAGCCACGGAGATGTTCCCCGGGATGCTCTGGGGTTATTGCGGCTCCATCATCCTCCTTGGGAGGAAACGGTGCCTTTGGGTCACTCTGTGATGATGACTCTTTTCCCAAGCACCCAAGCAAGTGCTGGCCATGCCAGGATATTGCTCCAGTGTCTTCTCCAGCCTCACAAGCTGGGTGAGCCGAGACACATCCGTGTCCCTCGCTGAGGTCCCTGGTGCACATGGCATCTCTGCTCAGGGTGCCACTGCTGCACCAGGGAGTTATGTGCTCTGCAGACTGTCTTGGTGTTGGGATATCTGCCCGGTGCTTCATGCGCCAGCTCATCTCCTCCTTTCTTGGCTTTTTCCCCAGGTCCACTTTGCCCAGTTCAAAGAAGCCCTTATCCTCATCCTCTCCAGGACCCTGTCAAACGAAGAGCCCTTCCAAGAACCAGGTAGCAATCATAAGTTTTGCTTGGAGAAAAGGCCTTGGGTGGGTTTTATGCAGGAACGTAGAGGAGCAAATGCTTCTTGGGCACCAAATGGGTGTTTCTCTTGCTCTGGGTGAGCAGATGCTTGGCCATAGTGGGGGTTGTGGCTGGTGCTGGAGCCTTGTGCGATTGCATCTTCTGAGCTGGTAAATCTTTACATCCCGTCTCCGTGATGGAGATGCCCGGAGAGCCCTGTGCTGCCTTGGAAGGCCGTGGGGTGGACAGGAGGTACCGCAGCGCGTAGGCTTCCTGGAGCAGCTTGCTGGAAAGCTCAAGACCTGCTGAGTCGTTTGGAGGGGGACGCAGGGGAGGGTTGTGCTTTGCTGCAACGTTAGCCAGGGTTTGGGATTTGCGTGTCCTGTGTAGGCGCCTCGCGTGGTTTGGGATGCTGCAGGTGCGTCCTGGGTGGGCTGGAGTCTCCTGGCTGCTCGTGGAAACCAGGGATGCTCCAGGTGCTCCAGCGCTGCCGTCACAGCTGGGGACAGGGCTCATGTGTCCTTGCTCCCTGTGTGTCCTTGGAGCAGGAGGATGACGCCAGCGCGATGCAGCCCCGGTGCCAGCGCAGCAGCTCCGGCTGCTCGTTCCCCAAGGCCACCACGAGCTCCTTGGCCTCCTGGCTCCTTCCTGCTCATGTGTCCCAGGCTTTGCTCTCCTCCTCGGCCGGGTTTTTGGGTCAAGGCCCCTCTCCCCTTTCCAGGGGCAGCAGGAGCAGGTCCGTGCTGGGGGTGCTTTAGCTAGAAACTTGCTGGCTTTTGCAAAAGTCTTTCAAGAAGCTGCAGGAGCCCCTTGCCCGACTGCTCCGTGCCCGTGGTGTTTGGGAAGGAGCTGTCGGGATGCAGGAAAAGCCCCCGGCTGGCGGCAGCTGTGCCGAGCGCGGCAGCTGCCGGGGATGGAAATGATGGAAACGCGGAAGGCGGCGGGGGGAGAAGCCCTTGCGCCCTCCCTGCCGCCTCGTCTGCCGCGGGCAGGGTGACCTCAATCCCGCGGGAAGCTTCTCCGAGGTGCCCGTGTCTCCCTGGAGACGCTCGGTCTGGCGCCTGCCGCGAGTCGCCAGCCCTGCCCGCTCCTCCCTTTGTTCCCGCTTGCCTTTTATTTATTTAATTTGGGGTTTTTTCGAGACTCTCTCCTAGCTCCGAAGGAGCCGCTCCGGCCTCGGTGGCGGGGAGGGCTCCAGCTGGAGCTGCCGTCGCACCTGTATGTAAATCCCTAATCCTGCCTGTCCCCCCGGAGGGGCTTAGTGAGGGACAGGGCGGCTCGTGCCGTCCTCTTCCTGGCCCCATCCCCACACCGGGGCTCATGGGCAAACGGCAGCACCCCCCAAGCCAGACTGCACAGCCCCCGGCACCCCCGAGATGCAAACGATGGATTTCCCATTTTCCCTCTTGTTTTCCAAGCTCCTCGTGTTGCTCTGTGCGTGCCGGCCGGAGCGAGCGGGCACCTTGGCCGGGATTTTGCTGAGCCCCTCGGAGCGCGCCGGGAGGGAAGGCAGCCCGGCATGCCGGAGCTAATCCGTGCGTCGCGCTCCAGGGTGTCTCTTCCCGCTGAGGAGCTCCAGCTTTATTAAATATAACTAAATCCTTGCAGAAGGGCTGAGCTTGGGGTGAGCTCCCTGCTGGGCTGATGCTCCTGTGCGGTTTTGGTGCTGCAGGTGGGGAGGCTCGGGCCCACCGGGCATTTATTTTTAATGTGTTTTGACAGGTTGCTCAACACAGGAGCTGTTTTTGCCTTTCATTTAGATCAAACTGGAGATTTGGGGAACAAGCTGCTTTGTGTCGCCGGTGTCAAACTGTCAGCGGCTGCGGAAGCAGCCAGCCCCAGGCCTAGGGGGAGGGGACAAAATTAAGAGCTCAAAATGGGGCAAATTAAATGAAAATCTAATTTGCAAACAGTGTGGAAAAAATCATGTTCTGCCTTAATGCTGCTGTTGGCTCCCAGGGTGTATCTGAGGTCTCTGAGCACTGCTGAAATGCTGGGCTTGGATGCTCGGTCCCCTGTGACAGGGAGGATCAGACCCATCCCCAGCTTCATGGGGCTTGGGAATGACTGACCCGGTGCAAAAAGGCAGCGAATCGAGGGCAAATGTTTAAGCGCGTGTTTAATGTTTAAGGTGGAAAGAGGAGACCAGACCCTGCTGCCTAATTAGGCGCCGGCTCCAGCACCGCCTTGCTGAGCCTGTGGCTTGCCAGGGGCTGAGCAAAGCAGGGAGGGTTCGACCTATTTTCTCTTGCCCTGCTTTATTCCCATCCCTCCCTCCCTCTCTGGTTCCTGGCTAGCGCTGCAATAGCTCAAGTGTGCAGAGTGTGAACCGGGGGCCGCTCTGCATGCCCCTGCATCCCTCCTGTTTCCCCGCGCACCGCTGAAAACCTGGGGTGTTTTAGCAGTTTTCATCCATCCTTCCCACTCGGATGGTGATGGGAGACTGGGTTCCCCATCCAGAGCAGGTCCAGGCTGCAGAAGGCTCTACCTTGCAGCAAGCACTTGGTGCCAGGGCTGCGTATGCAGAGCAAGGCAGAGGTGCCAGCGCTTGCCAACCTCGGAGCACTTGGAAACAAAAGCAGCAAAGAAGCCCTTCCTTTTGGCAGGCAAAAGGCACTACAGCATGGTATAAAGGCACCTGTGTTTCCACGTGCACTGTGATTTTTGCAGCTCTGCAGTGCTTACACATGCTTACATGAGGTTAAATTAGCTTGGGAATGTGTGAGCATATGGAAATCCAGGAACACTTTAGCAATAATTCCATTATTGCAAAGTTCCTACTTATTTTTCCCTGAAATCTTGGCAGCAGAGGAACATCCTTGTGTTTGGGAAGAGATATTTCTTCTCTATGGAAAGATGTAAACTTCCCTGCAACCCTCTTGTGCAAAGGAGAATAAATATGTGTTGGGGGGGAGCCACAAATATTAGCATTTCAGAGGGAGCTGCTCGCTGCAGATTGCTCACCACCAGGCAGCTTTAATAGGAGCGATAAGGTTGGCTTTTGTTCTGGGGCTGCCTCTTAATCAGGCTGCCTCGGCGGGATTTTTGTTCCCTATCCCTATCCCTCCTTGTCCAACTGAGTTCCGGCCGCGGCAGAGCTTGTCAAAGGGGCCCTGTTCAAACAGGGGTGCTGGGCTCGGTCCCTGGAGCCACCGTGCACGGGAGCAGCGCAGGCTGCACAATCAAAGCCCTGCCAGGCCTGTGTGTTTTATAATTCATTGCATAGCTAAGTTGCAGGCGGTTTCTTTTTCTTCCCCTTTCTGACAAACTTGAAGCCTCCTTCTGCATCCCAAGGAATACGAGCGGGGAAGAGCCAGGGGGTTGCAGACCCCAGCTTCCCTGCTCCTTGTTAGCGCTGGCTGCTTGCATTGATTTTTTTGCACCTTTGCAAATAAAATTTTAAAGAGATGTTGCTCCTGATGCTGTCTCAGAGCAGCAGATGATGATGCTGATGATCAGGTCCTGGGGGGAGCTTTGACAGCCCGGTTAGCTAGCAGTGAAAGAGCCTTTCCCTAATTGAATCCCCGGCTAATTTGGACATCGGAGGAATTTCCCCCGTGCTCTGGGCACCCAATGAGCCTCTAGAAGCAGCCCCGATGCACGAGGTTATTTCTGGTCCCTGCTGCTCACGCTCCGCTCTCCCCTCGCAGGTTCCTCCCCGCAGGCGCAGCCCAAGTTCGTCAAGGGCGGCAAGCGCTACGGGCGCCGCTCGCTGCCCGAGTCGCCGCA